AAGTCAATTTTCGACTGGTTTCGTTTCCATACGCGTATGCTACGCGTAGACTTACGATCGACCTTCGCGAAAACCTGTGTTGTCGTTAGACCTCGGTACGTGCGTTGTACCGAGCTCCGTCCGTTACTGTACAATCGCGCCGACTAATTTTGAATGTGTTTCTTTTGGTTTCCGGCCGAATTTCGTGCTTATTTCTTATCTTTTTCTGTCGTACGCGGGCATTCATCGCGCCGTCGGCTTATCCGCGTCATTAGCGTTGAATCAGTCGCGTCACGTCCGTACTTTCTTTATCGAACTGTGTTATCCTTTTTTTTTGTTTCTTTTCTCCGCCGTTGCTTACCGCCTTTCCAGGCGGCCAATAAACCTGACTATTATTTGTTATTGTTACTAATTTGGAGTACGAATTCTTTCGCCTGCCCTGCGCCATCCCTTCGCCCTTTTGGTCTCGCCCTGCCCCTCTGCCGTTAGGTAGAGCCGGCCGGCCCTCGTGCGATCGGCCTCGGGAGCGGTGGTTGAAGGTCGAGTGTCGTCGCGCTTAAAGATTTCGTTCGCGCTATCGCGTAATCATTCCGTTTCGCGAGTGACTTGACCCAGAGCACGTCTGGCGCCCAGATTCGCGTCGCCGCTCCTCGTCGGTCGCCGGGGGGACGCATTTCCGGAGGGCTGCCACCTTCCCTCCCCGGAATCATACGCGATTCCCATCACTTGTTTGATCCGTGCTCACGCGAATTAGTTATTTCACGGGAGCACGTGACAATATATATATATATACCGCACTTATTAAAAAAACTCAATTTATCAAATATCATCTATTAAGTTTAAGTTAAATGAACTATGCCAGTAAAAACTTTGTACTGTTTACCATTATAAAAAAATTAGGAATCTGAGTTATTTATTTTTTTATATTAAAAAGAAAATTCTTTAAATCCTTGCATTTTGTCTTAAAAAAATAGGGGTCGATTATATGACTGTGCTACGGCATAAATCCCACGTGCTAAAAATACCGTATATCTCAAAACAGATGGGATAAACGAAACAATAAACTAAATAAAGTATACGA